CTCCCCGGACCCCGCATTCACTATATCCGCTCTCCCCGGACCCCGCATTCACTATATCCGCTCTCCCCGGACCCCGCATTCACTATACCCCCCGCTCACCCCGGACCCCGCATTCGCTATATCCGCTCTCCCCAGACCCCGCAACTACTATATCCGCTCTCCCCTGACCCCGCATTCACTATATCCGCTCTCCCGGACCCCGCATTCACTATATCCGCTCTCCCCGGACCCCGCATTCACTATATCCGCTCTCCCCGGACCCCGCATTCACTATATCCGCTCTCCCCGGACCCCGCATTCACTATATCCGCTCTCCCCGGACCCCGCATTCACTATACCCGCTCACCCCGGACCCCGCATTCGCTATATCCGCTCTCCCCGGACCCCGCATTCACTATATCCGGTCTCTCCGGACCCCGCATTCACTATATCCGCTCTCCCCGGACCCCGCATTCACTATATCCGCTCTCCCCGGACCCCGCATTCACTATATCGGCTCTCCCCGGACCCCGCATTCACTATATCCGCTCTCCCTGGACCCCGCATTCACTATATCCGCTCTCCCCGGACCCCGCATTCACTATATCCGGTCTCTCCGGACCCCGCATTCACTATATCCGTTCTCCCCGGACCCCGCATTCACTATATCCGCTCTCCCCGGACCCAGCATTCACTATATCCGCTCTCCCCAGACCCCGCAACTACTATAGCCACTCTCCCCTGACCCCGCATTCACTATATCTGCTCTCCCCTGACCCCGCATTCACTATATCCGCTCTCTCCGGACCCCGCATTCACTATATCCGGTCTCTCCGGACCCCGCATTCACTATATCCGCTCTCCCAGACCCCGCAACTACTATATCCGCTCTCCCCTGACCCCGCATTCACTATATCCGCTCTCCCCGGACACCGCATTCACTATATCCGCTCTCTCCCCGGACCCCGCATTCACTATATCGGCTCTCCCCGGACCCCGCATTCACTATATCCGCTCTCCCCGGACCCCGCATTCACTATATCCGCTCTCCCCGGACCCCGCATTCACTATATCCGCTCTCCCCGAACCCTGCATTCACTATATCCGCTCTCCCTGGACCCCGCATTCACTATATCCGCTCTCCCCGGACCCCGCATTCACTATATCCGCTCTCCCCGGACCCCACATTCACTATATCCGCTCTCCCCGGACCCCGCATTCACTATATCCGCTCTCCCCGGACCCCGCATTCACTATATCCGCTCTCCCCGGACCCGGCATTCACTATATCCGCTCTCCCCGGACCCAGCATTCACTATATCCACTCTCCCCGGACCCCGCATTCACTATATCCGCTCTCCCCGGACCCAGCATTCACTATATCCGCTCTCCCCGGACCCAGCATTCACTATATCCACTCTCCCACAGTACACAGAACATGGAAATTAATTTTTTTTGTAAATATAAACTGCTAAATCCCTTTTATCATCAGCAGTATATAGCAGTCTTGTGACTTCTATCAGTGTCCAGCTGAGCACTGGTTAAAGCTTGTAGGAGTAGTTTTCATTTCTCCCTTGACTATCCTATGAGGCTGAAGGGCTCCTGATCCTCTGGAGAGCGTCAAATGGCCCTTTGCTGATCACATGCACCCTCCCAAAGAAAAAAAAAAAAACTGAGCATGTGCAGAGTGACTCCTAGAGCTCCGTACTATCAGCTGATGGATTGGGGATTGTGGAAGAAGGGGAGGATTAGCGAAGACAGGATCAAACAGCCTTTTGACACAATGCAGCGGATTAACCTCTTAGGTTCCACAGTGGGTATAACAAGCATGCATTACTGCATCTACAGACTGATTGTACTGTTGGGGGTTTAGTAACACTTTAATGGATATGAACCGAGCTGTTACCGGACAAGTCTGATCACACAAAACTCATGCAGAGCTGATCCGAACAGCTCTGCACCGCATGATCGCTGTGATGAGCTGCTGGCTCCTCCCTTCTGTCAGGTGCCCCCGCAGCAAGCAGCCTGCTATGGGGGCAGGTCTTACTGTCCAAAGCAACAAATAAGAAGTAGGCATAATGCTGAGAACTGACCCCCCATGTGACCAATCTACCACGACCCCCCAGTCTCCTACCTGTGGTTCATTATCCGATGGATCATCATCCACTCTGGCTTTATCCCATAGCGATAATACTTCTCTTCCATTTTTGCATACTGGGGGTCTTTGTTTTTTTTCTCTTCTCACTCTTGCTGTCCTCATCTCCTGACCCGTAGTCGAAGGGCGGCGGGTCATCCATGTCGTTCTTTCTTTGGTAATTCCGGAACATGACAGTATGGTAGAGCTCCAGCTGAAACGCCAAACACCCTCAGTAACTACCAAACATTATAAATGTGTAAAGGATCCTGCGGCTACAAAGGGGTATTAGGAGTACGATGGCCAATCAGGTATTAAAGGGGGAATCCATTGTCAGGAAACGCTCCTATATTGACATGTCCACGCATTCCTCCAATACTGATACAACGCATGGCTGTTCCTTTGCAGGTTGCCTTCCATGTGCTTAGCTACCAAGTTCCCTCTCCAGGTTCTCAGTTACTATCCAGCTCGCTGAGCTCCCCGTTCAAAGGCAAGGCATACTGCGCATATTATCAGCGATGTGAGGTCACAGGTTACTTTCTCAGTGATGTCACCAGCTCTTGCTGAGTTATGTTGTCAGCTCTAATAATATGTGATGTTAAAGCTGAACTCCATGAATTCACCCAAAATGTGCTGGGATACTATGAGTGAAGTGCAACTAGGTGCATGCCACCTTGTGGAGTTATCTGACAATTTTATGGAGCTCCGGGACTACAGCTATCGCTACACTCCTGGAGCTCTGACAGAAGAGATGTTACCTTCCAACACACATCTCTGACTGCCCCTCCTCCTCTGCAGCCCATTGACAGGAACCTTTGTATTTTGGAAATGAGATTACACAAAGTGCTCTGTGATTGGGCCGGAGGAGGGGAGGGGCAGGCATTGTAGCTGTGTCAACTCGCTACACTCCTGGAGCTCTGACAGAAGAGACGCTACCTTTCAACACACATCTCTGACTGTCCCTCCCCCTCTGCAGCCCATTCACAGGAACCTTTGTATTTTGGAATTGAGACTACACAAAGTGCTCTGTGATTGGGCAGGAGGAGGGGGGGGGGCAGGCATTGTAGCTGCGTCAACTCGCTACACTCCTGGAGCTCCGACAGAAGAGGTGCTACCTTCCAACACACATCTCTGACTGCCTCTCCCCCTCTGCTGCCTATTCAGAGAAACCTTTGTATTTTGGAAATGACATGACACAAAGTGCTCTGTGATTGGGCAGGAGGAGGGGAGGGGCAGGCATTGTAGCTGCGTCAACTCGCTACACTCCTGGAGCTCTGACAGAAGAGATGCTACCTTCCAACACACATCTATGACTGCGCCTCCCCCTCTGCTGCCCATTCACAGGAACCTTTGTATTTTGGAAATGAGACTACACAAAGTGCTCTGTGATTGGGCAGGAGGAGGGGAGGGGCAGGCATTGTAGCTGTGTCAACTCGCTACACTCCTGGAGCTCTGACAGAAGAGGTGCTACCTTCCAACACACATCTCTGACTGCCTCTCCCACTCTGCTGCCTATTCACAGAAACCTTTGTATTTTGGAAATGAGAAGACACAAAGTGCTCTGTGATTGGGCAGGAGGAAGGGAGGGGCAGGCTGCTGGAACTGAGAACAGAGGTTCTAGCGTCAGGATGCCCAAAGTATAGCGATAGCTATGCTCCCGGTGCTCCCTAAAAATGTAAATAGTAAATTGAAGAGGTAAGTCCACAAGCTGGCATGCACCTTGTTGGATTTAAAGCGATACTAAAAGGTTCATTTTTTTTCTTATAAAATAACAAATATGTTATACTTACATGCTGTGTGATGGTTTTGCACAGAGCAGCTGGATCCTCCTCTTCTCAGGTCCCCCGCAGGCTCTCCTGGCTCCACCTTTCTGTCGGGTGCCCCCATAGTATGCAGCTCGCTGTGGGGCACCTGCTGCTCCATGTGTTTATTCACAAACGGAGCTATGGCTTGGCTCCACCTCTTCTCTCTCCTCAATGGCTGACTGGCTGTGATTGACAGCAGCCAATGGTACCCATTTGCTGTCTCAGCCAATGAGGAGGCAGAGACCCGGGACAGCTGAGGCTGTTGTGAATATTGCTGGATCGCGATGAGGCTCAGGTAAGTATTGGGGGGGGGGGGGGGCTGGGGGGTACTGCTGCACAGAGAAGGTTTTTTACCTTCACGTATAGAATGTATGATGGTAAAAAAAACCTTCAGCCTTTACAACCCCCTTAAAGTATAACTAAAGGCAAAACATTCTTTTTAGTTTTAGGGTGCAGGAGAATTAGAATTCCTGTCAGTTGTAATATCTCTCTAGGTTCCCCCCCCCGTTAAGAAGATTCACCTCCTCATTTGTCCTGTTAGCATTATGATTGAAAGTGGAAAGTAAAAGAAAGAGATCACACATTTTGGGCTGTACCCAGAAAAGTACTAGTGGGGAAACCTTCCAATGGGGACGCTTGTTCTGATGACCTGGGGGACCCCAAGGAATTCCCAAGGATTTCCTTTCACTTCCTGTTTGGCTATGCCCACATGGAAGAAAAATATATTTGAAATATATTTTAAAAATATTCTTCCCAAATATATTGCCAAATATTTTAAATGCTACAATTGTGGCCATATTCAATATATTTCAAAATATATTTAAATAAATATATATATGTACACTGCATGTTGAAATGCGTTTTTTTTTTTATAAAATATATGAAAAAATATTTTTTAAAATATATTTCAAATATACTGTATCTTTAAAAAAACAAATCTACATTTTTGGTGCGCATTTACAAATTATATGTAAAAATATATGTTAAAATGACTCTTTTATATGTAAAAAAAAAATCTGAAGAATATATTTTAAAAAATATATATTTTTAAAATATATTTTTTTTAAAATATATTCTTCAGATTTTTTTTTTTACATATAAAAGAGTCATTTTGTCCGCACGGCGTCAAGGCCCAGACGCCCGAGTGGCCACATATTTGCGTGCGCTCGGCATCAAGGGGTTAATATGTTACCAAGCTGAAGATGGGGAACACATTTTACTGCAGGTTGACTTTACAGTAAAAAAATTTAAAAAAAGAGTCTCACCTGTAGTTCTTTCACCCATGAGCAGTGCCAGTAGGAGAGCCCCGCCCACTTGACGAAGAACTCTCTCTCTGGAATCCCTTCCATAGGCTTAGGTGGAGGCATGAGTGGATCAATCGCAGTAAAAGGGGCTGGTGCACACAAAGGCGGTTCTCTCCAAATCCAGTGCAGGATCCGTTGAACTTTGCCCTTTAATGGCGGACACTATGGAAAGGAAAAAAGGGAAAACA